ACCTGACAAGTCCCGTCTACTCTGCCAACGTCTTCTATCAACTTTTTGTCGGTTTTCGCCTTTAGATCTCATCAGAGTTTGTGTGACATTAGACATAAATCATACAGGCACGAAGTTCAAATCTTATACAGTTTTCTCGTCGGTCCTTTGTACACCAGTTTTCTGCTGGTGATATTAGGCAGCCTTGTCCTTACCCTTATCTTCACTCTGGTTTCCGCCAGACATCAAATCATGAAATAAAATCGAATATCCAGTGTGGTGAGAGCAGGCTGCTAGCTGATTGGTTGACACTAAGCTACGTTAATATGGGCCGTGAGAAAATATGAACAAGGCTGAGTCAACAACCAATCACAGCAAAGTTAACGTGGCTAAATATGATTCGCAGATAGAGAACTCTATTTGTCAAGAAATCCCGAAACAACCAATCATAAGCCTGCGTTTGGCTGCCTAACTTCTGATAAACAACCAATCAGATGACTGCGCTTGTCTATAATAATGTATGTGAAATATGTATAAATACGTGTTGATTTTCATAATAAAACGATCTGTTGCCTGGCCCTTGTCTCCTGTTGTTACAACAGTTCACTTTTGATGGTATTTTTTATGTTTATCGACCACTTCTTTATCTTACTCGGAAATATAGATCAGTTGATTACATGATGATTTTTCAGGTTACTTATTTCACCATTTAAAAATGACCGGTGTTAATAAGATTTTGAATTGTTCCACTTCTTAGACCTCCTCAACCACCTCTTTGTAACACCAGCATACACAGGACAGTCTTCTCCTCCAATCTATTGCTCCAAAGTTACTTATGACACGAAAAGTAAATTTTCAAAATCCAGTTAATCTGTTTTACGGATACCGCAATAGTATCCCTTTTTCACTCCACCTGAATCTTCACTGAAGCATAAATGCTTGAAGCTTTTGAAGTTTCAGTAGCTTTATGGGGTACCGTTTCTCGACTGGACTGCGTTTTCAGCCGTTAACTGTCACTCGAACCTCCCACGAATATGTGTCTGATGAGCATAGTCTATGACTAAATTGCCGACACACACTCGTGTCACATATTTACTCATTTAAAAGTTTCATTTACCGATAAAAAGCAACAGAATATTAGTGTAGTTTTAAATTGTAGCGACATTCACCACTCCAAAATCAGTCCGGAAATCTACCGCATTAAATATGAAGAACAAAATTTGTATTTTCAAAGGTAGTATCAAATCAATCAGGGTTTCCATACGTCTCAAAGACTTGGCCGCTAAGTTAAAGTGTATTGGCCCAGGAGTGTGAGCCCTCCAGTGGACTTTGAAAGCACGCATAGTATCCGTTGAATAACGAGACCGACTGTTACTATAGTGTCACTTTGATGACCGCTGTAAGCGAGTCGAGCTAAAATTTCACATCAATTTCATTTTTAAGTAATGTCTGGACAATGTGTTAATAGCTGGATAGAGTTATTGTCACAACCAGGGTTAGGATCAAAGTTGGAGTTGTGATAAGTACTAGGTTTGGGATGGGCATTATTTATTTCTATTCTCTGAAGTTTTCTAGTAAATGGTCGTCAGTCCTTTTAGTGGAACCCATATTAATTCAAATGTGGTATTTTGTGGAAGACTGCAAAACAGGGTCACAATAAGAACTCATTTTTAGTCGCCTCAGTGAATACATGTACAGAAACTGGTCCGACTTAAAAACTGATACTCCTGATAATAACTTGAAGGCATTTTTGCGTCATTTCAAGGAAAAATATCTTGTTTTAGTGTTTTTTTCATGTACTTCTCTTGTAAATAAACGTCAAATCTAATGCAGAAACCACTGTATTTCCTGGTTGGTCGGCTCAGGGTCGCCCGTATCTTCGCACTCCATAGTGTTTGACTTAGCGGACTTGGCTAGTGTCTATCGACAACTTCTCCCATCACTGGCACCGTGCTGAAGATCAAATACCCAACTGGCCAGAAAGAATTAGCACCAAGAAACTGTGGCAGCAAAATAAACTAACCAGAAACACACAGCTTAAAAAACATGTCGAAGAAAACTAAAATGGATAGTTTGGACATATACGGAGGACATCTTCAAGTGACCACGAGTGTCAGGTATACCCTCGAGTAGAACTCGAGTGAGAAATGATGGAGTTGGATATGATTTGACACTATTACGCAGGAGAATGTGTGAAGCGAAGAAGAGGACTAATTAAAAACGATTGTAGAAAACAGAACGAAATGGAGATGAAGCCTCGTTGAAGCCCTATATTCCATTTGGAACCTCAGGGAATAACAGTCATAATAATAAGTTTATATTTCAAACCGTTGGAATGAATCTCATCACACCTACCCGGCTGATAAAGAGACGTGAAAAATAACGGGTTGAAAATTGATTTGGACATGAGCTAACTTTGGTCACTGCATTCTTACTGTAACAATTTTTCTTATTACATATATCACACACAGTGAAAGAGTATTGTTACAATAAAGAAAGAAAGAAAGACTAGATTGACAGTATAAAAAGACATCGTCATTCTACTTCACAGATTCCCCTCATTAGTTGCATACCACTACCTGAAATTACAATAGTTATAAAAGTTTGAATGACAGTAACATACTTCAATGTTTAAACGGTGGTCGAGGAAATATTATAAAATTAACTCATTAAATTTATAACCATTACAACTCTTAGTTTAAATTAACATCAGTTTATTTACTTTCAGAGTAGAAAAGGAGGGTAAGAGGAGAAGATAGTAAGATCTAATAAACAGTATTAGCTTGTAGGACCAAGGCAACTCAAGGAAGACTGATGGGACTCTGAAGAGATTAACGAATCTAAAGCCCATATGGAATGGCTAGCTAACAAAAGTTTACAGCTGGGTACCTATTATTCGCAAGTGGAACCTGATAATACCTCTTGCTACTGGAATCGTGGAATCTGCAGTCTTGAACCAGTAGAAAAAGAGATCACTCTTCTGAGGCGGACACTACTTTATAGTGCCTGTCTAGTGCACCTTATATATGAACACATAAAGCCGGCAATCAACATACAACAATCCATCTCTACTACGAAGAAGATGCTATACATGAATGTGACTTTGTGACTGTGGCGTCGGTGGCACAGTGGTTAGGACTCTTGCCGACCATGCACATGGTCCGGGGTTCGAACCCACGCCGGCGCATACCTGATATCTATGGTCGGCCTGCAAAATTTGGGCTACCGATATCCATGCTGAAAATTCCATACTTGTACCAAAAATACTGTGTGGAATCAAGCTGTAAATCAAAAAAGAAGAAACCTTCTGGCCAACTTCCCAAAGCGAAGAATATCTAACGCCCTGGAAAGAACATTCCCTGCTACTACACTACGATTGATATTCTCAAGCCGCCCACTGTTCTTCAACAACTAGAAAGATAAACTATCGTATCTGATCACTTCTGTGTGTATCTACAAATTTACTTGCTGATGTGGAACGAGGTATATACGTCGTTCGATGAGTGTTTTGTCTAAAAGGGTCAAAGAACATTACCTTTCTTGGCTACGAGAAGTTAACAGCGGATCAATAAGGAGTGCTACAGTAGAATAATATAAGGAGAATTCATTCAAAGTCATCTACAAAGTCAAAAGAAGCCTCCCGAAGACGGTAAGCTTCCGTAGAATTTGCATTACCAAGGCCTTGGTGGTTCGGATGGAAAATCTTGTTTTGTGCACACAGAAAAACTTCTCCACCCCCGTTCTACATTGGGCATAATTCCAAATTCTATCACTTTGTTAATGATGCTATTTTGAATTTTTGTGTGACTTTTTAGCAGCATCTTTTTCTTAACCAACGCTTTATTTACTCTATATACCTTTTAAATAGTTTATTTTGGATAGGTTCCTCAGTGCCGCTTCATTAACATCCTATCTTTCTGGACGTTTTTCATATTACGTAATCCAAGTCAAGACTTACAAATCACCGCGCCCCTCCTAGTTACTGTTTGATTACTCAACACATTTTTGAAACATTTTGGTGACGTAAACAATAAATCTAACTAAATTTTACTTTTGCTTGACAATCCTAATGTATATATGTGCGTCGGTGGCGTAGTGGTTTGGACGCTCACCGACCATCCTCATGGTCCGGAGTTCGATCCCCGGCCACCAACGCACTCTTTTACCTCGCTAAGCCAGAAATAATGCTGGTAAAGAGGAAAGGTTGGGCATGAGGCTAACAACCCCATCCTGTAAAATAAACACTGCTACAGAAAATTCAAGCCACTAGCTTGAAGTCCTATGTTCCACAGGGGAACGTGAAGGAAAAAAATTTATACATACAAAGAATGATTATATATAAGTACGATTATACAGCTAGGCGAATGAATTTTCCGAAAAGAGACTCTTTGCTGGACTGTCGGTTCTTATCTGCATGAGTACGCACCCACCAACCAGGTTCGGGCCACGAAGTAACTTTCGGTTACAAGGCGATATTAATCTGACGCTCACTAGCGACTGGCCATATTCAGGCAGGTAGGGTAGGTAGTTACCTGGGTTCTAGTGGGAAGCAGGTTGGGACCAGTGGGGCACAGTAGGTTAAGAGGAGGTGAGGATAACTACTCACCACAAATGATATTGGCTAGTATCAGTCGTCCTACATTTTCAGTGAACTGACAGTAGTTAGGATTCATGGAGCAACGATTAGGTTGGATTATAGTTTCTGAATGGTCTACAAGCTTACCTTGTAATCAGAAGGTGTCCTGGTTAGTTCGAACCCTAATAGGGTGAGTGCCTACTGATGAAGAGTTCCAAACTTGAGTGACGAGACGATTGTCCAGCAGTACTCCCTGGTTGTGTAATAAAATCTTGTAGCCCTACAATTACTAAAACGTCAAAGTTCAACGTTTGAATCCACTCGATCTTCGATACTCGGAACATAAACAAATCAACAACAAAAAATTTATCATGATTCGATAGACATTTTGCCTTTATTTAATTCTTCCATTTTACTTTCTCTGTCTCTCTAATCTGCCCGACAGAAAAACCCTCCAGTGAACTTGTCAATGAATATAAATCATTGAATGCCAATCTAAACCAACTACAGGGTAAGTCCTCATTTTTAATAAAAGTCTACATTTTTTGTGTATACATTTTGAAATAATATAAAGGCTTTTCTTTTTATTCGTCCTTTGAGGTTGTTGGGGGGGGGGAATAAATAGGCTTTAGTTTTGGGCTGTGTGCTTCACATCTGTCCACAGGATTTCGTATTTTCCCCAACTCACATGATATGCTCCTATAAACGGTTTTCCATTGAAGTGTGAATGCCTGCGTAACAAAAGTGTAGTGTCGCCCAACGACCCGTAATCGGATATCAAGTCTATCGACCAGTATGAAAGTTTTCAAAAAGATGTTAGGAATACATCTGATGATGGGCGATGAAAGATTCTGAACCATAGAGAAACACTCGTGGGCTTGACATAGTTGTAGGACTTAAGCTGTACTCAATTCTATTCTCTGCAGCTCACTTTAGTCGGCTGACTCCATGATTGCCAATAGACTTTCATCTCCTCCAACTCATATGAACTCCTCGTGTTGCCATCGTAACACTGCCTAACTTATCGTTTTGTATTCAAAATCCATTCGAGAGATAGCCAGGCTGAAGAGGCAGCGAAGACAGGACTCCAAGTGAACAACAACCGGCACCAGTCACCATCAACAGGAGAAGTTTGAAAGAGGTCGCATCCTTCACTTATCTTGGAAGCATCATTTCAACCACAGGTGTGAGCATTGGATGAGGATGTCAAAAGCAACCATAATTGGTTAGTTAAGGTAGACCTTCTCATTAATCTTAAAGTTAATTTGGAAATCTCCTCCACTCTGCCTCAACATGAACAACAAAATTCAGATTCTGTCCAACAACAGCAGTGTTAAGTCTGTCGGTTAGTCAGTCAGTCATTCAGTCACTTCCTCTGTATGGATCAGAAGACTGGCCAGTAACAACAAGAAAGGCATTTAATCAGCCTACTGTGACAGAATTTTATAAACAGTCACCCTCCTTAGCTAGACACATACTGGAAATGAGAAAGAATTAGCAGCAAGAAACTCCGACATGAAACAACCCAACCAAGAATCTCTACGACTCAACGAATTTTGCTAGAAGAAGATGGAGATGGGTGGATTATGTCCACGCTGAGGCAGCTAGTCATTACATGATTGGAACCGGACATAGAAATGACAATTAAGGTACTTGTTCGAATGTCAGCATGGATGAGGTTGTGTGTGAGACAGAGCAAATGAAAGCTTATGGACCATTGTGGAGTTAACCAGCCGAAAGAGGACTACAGAGAGCAGAATACTCCATTTGAAACCTATGAGAATAACATCAGTGAAATCTGGCATGCACAATTCACCCTATTTACAATTCGAATTTCACCACGGTGACCTCATGTGTATCAAGTACCAGTATCTACACTAACCTATTAGACTATTCAGTGGAGTTTCGTGGGGGTTGGTATCAGTGGGAACACCATCACTCAGTTTGTCAGTCATTCGCTAGAAGAATTCAAATCCAGTCAACTGGCTGACGAAGCCTCAAACAGAACGAAATATGTTCACACTTGATTCCAAAAATTATGGGAACATTCATACTTCTTACCGATGTGTCTGCTATCAACACAGAGACAGACTCTGAGCATTAATCATAAAATCAGTCAATCGATATGAAATACGAAAGTTCCTCCTAAAACTTGTCGTATGATACTTTTATATAATTGATGATATCATGAAATTTAGAAAACTCTGATCATTTGATCGCATATATGTATATATTTGATTTACGCTCAATAAAACCTTCATTCTAATCATTAATAATGTGTGTGAACTTAATTCATGTGAACTTGTTACTGGATCAATTAATCAGAAAATGGAAGAATAAACAGAAAGAAAGCAAGAAAGTCAATCGATGTACTCTTGATTAATTGATAAGGCGATTGCTAATCGATACACACTTATACACACAATCGATGTTGTCATTATTATATTATTATTATTATTATTATTATTATTTTCTTGGGTTCTAACTCGAATATAGGGCTTTGACCTCAACATATCTGTATTTTCTCCTGGTGTAACCATTCAACTTGGGATTTTTCAACTTGGGATTTGAAGCAACCCCATAAAAATAAATATACACCACTGCCACCGGTAAATCCAAAGCTCTAGCTTGAAGCCCTATGTTCCACTAGGAACGTAAAGGGATGAAAAAAAAAAGAAAAAATGGATTTGAAACTTTTGAAGCGACTTCCAGGTATGTTGTTTTCGGGTGACAGTGGTGGGACACACAGATGTCACTCTTTAGGAACGCAGACGATTCTCAGATAGGATAAGAAGCGTGCATCCTGGATTCTACACTACCGGTGTTCACCATCAAAACAAACTGAACTCTCCGATTATCCTGTTGCCTAGATTAGTGAAAGAAATCACTTTCTTGAAATCTCCTTCATGGATATTGATTAGAGCTTGTTGTTATTGTTGTTCTTACTAGTTGGGTATCTCTTTATCCCCTTCATCTTGTCCGTGTTCACTTGATGTATCCTGTCTTTCCTGCCTGCCTGCCTGCCTGCCTGTTCTGCCAGCTTCTTGTTACTGGTTTCCACCTGTGTAGATATTAGGGTTTATTGTGTGACAGACTTAAATCATCCACGCGCGATGTCCATATTTTCTAAAGTCTTCTTATCGGTTCAACGCATACTCGTATGTAATACAACCGAAAACGATGTGTTTTGGTTTGAACGATGGAAACCAACCTTTGTAAACCTATTGTATATCTGACCAAAGCTTCCCTGAATCGCTCACACTTTCACGATAACAAAAAAGACAGTTGTTTAAGATAAAATCTACGGTACTATTTAACCAAATTAACATATAAAATATTCAAAACTACCTTATCAATGACGTTAGACAGTTGTACAGATGCAGTTCATTCTCAAGTACAAAACATTGTACATTGTAAAACACAATTATTTCACTGAAACCAACTGTGAGAAGGATCAAAACGACTACCAGCAGGAATCACACACTGGACAATTCCCTATGACAGTCCAAGTCAGGAAGACCTTTACTCAGTCAAACAAAATCTCAGTTTAAAAGCAACATATTGTCAAGTTACACACAACCACAAAGAGAAGCATTCAAATTAGAGACTAAACAGGACAGGACAAAGATTAATGGTAAGGAACAAGTGAATATATATGGTGACATGCAAGTTTCATAACAACGATATATATATATATATATATAGCCCCGATGAAAAACGGATAACAATTACAAAGCTAGCTGAAACATTCAAATAAGTGTAATTAGATCATTCTGGAGACATCTTCCAAAGAGTTATTCAATTACACCATCTTTTCAGTCTCCACGCAGAGTATATCTCATGATTCACTCCACCACAGCAGTGAGGAATCTCATTACTGATGATAGCAGACAGTGCTGTCTAACACCCTTGTCTTCAATTTAGTTGTTTTATGTGTGAGCTAAACGCTCCAAATCCGCAGCTGACCTTCAGGAGAAGATAAAGTCAACTGATTGATTGATGGATCGATCGTGTTTGAATAGATTTTCCTGAAGATTTTATAATTTGAGAGGAGACATTCAATAAAATGCGAAGTAATAACTAAAGTATTCACGGTGATATTAAAATATTAAAACGACGGTTTTGGCAGGGAAGAGAATTTTCCTTTCGATGAAATCATCATCAACTAAGTAGCTGTACATTTGCTTATTGACAGGAAAAAGGTGAGAAAGTTTAGGACCTCCATAATTCCAGTTAGTCTAGGGTCAAAACACTGAAATTACGCCGTTTGGCCTTCCCTCTTTACCGGTTTTACTACCAGCTTAGTGAGTGAGGTTTGGAAGTGTGTCTGTCTGCAGAGGATCGATCCTCAGACCATGTGAGGCGTGGGGCGTCATTGGTCCTACCGCGTTCTACCACTCCACGACAGACCACTGATGAATTCCTGCTAAACAAGAAGTTGAAAGGTTGAGAAATAGTCTTCTGTAACGCAACTAAGATTTACTCAAACATCTTATTAAAGCAGTTCAGATCATTAAATGTCCACGTTTGATCACTGAAAATATTAAACACCAGACGGTCACAGAGAAGGGAATTTTCTTTCCATCAAAGTCATTATGAGTCGTACAGCTGTTAGTGATATGGTTAATTTCTCGTATTCTGATGCCTGTTTGAGCATAGATTCTTATGAAATTTCTCGTGGTTTCATATCCGGGAGAGATACCAGGAAAACGCTGCCAATAATTGGGTAGGATGTTCAGTATCAGACAAAATGACTTCAGCCAAGTAACTGCTAGCGGCAGTATAAATGCCTATCCACAACAGACATGTCAGCTAGTCAGTTAGTTAGTTGGGCCAGAGACACACCATTAACTCCTCGATAACTACATCCCTCATTGTCCTACCTAATGTATAACATTATTATTTGTTTTTGAGAAGCCTAGAGGAGAATTAATGGTGAGGGAGAACAATAAAGAAGTGAGATGTGTAGAATATACGGGCTACAAAGATTGTAAGAGGAAAGGTTGAGTTATGACGCCAGAAAGTCTCAACTACTCAGAAATCAACAAGATAGGAGACATTCGATTCAATCACCACGACAACAAAGTGTTGTCCACGCAGGTCTTGTTCCCATCTGAAACTAACATTGGCAGTCCTGATACTAAGATGAATTCAGTTTAAGATCACTTGAGTGAGACCAGTGGGTAACCTCGGAAAAGAATCTGTTTGTTCATATCAGAACAGTTCAGTACAGAAACTACTAGGATAGAGACTGTTAGATCATCAGTATATTTGAAATAGAATTTTCTTGGGAAGAATACACACTAGGTCATAGAAAAAGGAGGAAAAAAGGAAATATGAAGGTACAGCCCCAGTGAGGCACAGCATAGATATTGTTCAATCTTCTCCGAAGCACTGAAGAAGGTTTTCAGTAATACGTGTGTTCAGTGGCCGTCATCTTGTTTCCCCAACTCACAACACAGTTTCCTTTACTGTGTTGCAAACGAGTTGAGAAGAATCCAAGAAATAATA